AGCTCAGAAAATTAATTCTCCCCTAAATGTTACATCTCTTCATCTTTCTGCAGACTGTTTCTGGCTTTTAAGAGCAAAAAATTTAAATGCATAGGAGTCACCATGAAAACGATTTACAGTACATTTTTTGCAAAGATGTGTTCTCTGAGCCCCCCACTGTAGATATGCCAAGCACCCAAATGTGGACTCCAAATTTCAAATACCCATCATTGCTGCTACTAATCTGCATGAATCTCAGAGGCGAATAACTGCATAAAAAATACCTGGGAGGAAATAGCATAATATTTGGGGGAATAGGTAATGCACTTGGGAAAGAGTCTTGCACCCCTACTGCAACGACCTGAGTAGTTGTGTAGTGTCCTTGGACAAGTCGCTTACTATCTCGGGGCCAGTAGCTGCAAAAATATTCTATCAAGTCCCCCTCACAGAGATATCGTGGAAATACGTGAGGATGTCCGTAAAGCTTCTAGCCCAAACCTAACACCGAGTAGATTCCCACAACTCTCCCGAAGCGCAGCAAGTTGCGCGCTTCATTCGATACGCTCGGCGCTCCTTCTCGGGCGGGATTCCCCCTCCCGGGCCGGAGCCTGCGCTCTGGGATCGACTGAGGCTGCCTGGCCGCTCGCGCTTTTCTCTCCTTCTCCAAGATGGCGGCGGTCGGCGGCGCTGAGGCGGGATCCGAGCGAGTCGAGTGAAGGTAGCGGCGAGCGGAGCCCCCACGAGGCCGGGGCCCGCCCTCTGACGCAGTTGCCCATACTTGGTGCAATTTCCTAGGCGCGCCCAGGTGGAGCCGAGGGTTCCCCGGGCCTGACGCACCTGCAGGGGCCCCGCCCCGCCGCCGCCCGCGCGCCCCGAGGCCCGGCCGCGCGTCGTAGCCCGGGACACCCCACCAGGGCTCCTAGTCCGCCCGTGCGGAAGCGGTTTAGAAGCTGTCAAGTGGGCCGTCCGTGTAATGGATGGTTGGGACCGTTTTCTATTTACCGCGTGAGGGTTTCACGCTGATTCCCGCGCTTCGTGCCTTTGTGTGAAGGCTCCAGGGTTCCCGAAAACCAGTTACGAGACAAACCTAGTAATACAATGCAATGCCATTGTGCTGCTGACCGGAAATGCCGGGCGCTCAAAGACCTTTTCAGGCCCCTGTGTGGCGCAAAAGATTTGCCATGGACTACTTACTAATCTCAAGGGGGCCAGTCCAAATCGACCCAGCGGCCGCCCGACAGACAACAGTCCTGCCGATCAGCCAGTGTAAAGATCGCAGCCAAGAACACCCTGTAGAGCAATTCTAAGTGTTGACACGCATACCACGGACGCGGGTCACCATGAGTCAGGCTCAATGGAGCTGGTCAGGCAGTGGGATTCTGCAGCTGTCTGGGGAGGGACGCCACCTTACTGGGAGTGAGGTTTGGGGACCAGCATTGTTTGGAGGTGAGGTCAAAGGTCTGTGTCGAATCTTAACAACCGGAGAGGGACAACCCTGAGAAGCAGATACCACCACCATTCCCATTTTATGGACGGGCAAGGCAAGGCTGAAATGGTTGTCCAAGGTGATGACGAGGGATTCCCGAACCAGGGTGGTAGGCGCACCAAGTCCACACTCAGCCTAGAATTTTCGAAGCCCTCACAGCTTCCCACACCCCACTTCCCATGTGCAGAATGTCAGCTCGGAGATGCCATGCCCCTCCCATTGTAGCGATGAGGAAACAGAGGCCCAAGGGGAGTGAGGAGCTGTGTAGGACACAGCCACAGGAAGAAGGCTGGGCTCTCCTGCTCTTCCACTGGGGCCTCCAGGGGCTCAGCTCCACTGTTGCCCGCAGGGTCCTGGGCCGCCTTCCTTGGAAACCAGAAGGCCCACTTGACTTTGGGGCTCCAGGCCCCAAGCTGCCATTTTTCTGTCATTATCACTTCCCCTCCGAATCGCAGTCCCAATGGCAATAGTTGGACGCCCCCACTCCCCTCCCACTATGTCCTGGGAAGGCCGGGAGGATCGAATGAGGTCGCAGATAGGAACGCGCTTGGTAACATGTGACCTACTGTGTGCTCTGGAGGTGTCTGTCAGACTGCTGCCTCCTCCCTTGCCTTCTTCTGGTCAGAGCTTCGCTTCCTCTGAGAAGAAGCCACAGCAGTTGACCAGAATTCAAACCCTAGGGATATGTGGGCATGCGTGTGTAAAAGAGATGGGGGCGGGGGTGGGGGTGGGGAGGGGACAGATTTTGCATTGGTATGACCAACCCAAGGAAGGGAGGAACATGCATGCTGGAATCTCGGGGTCCTGGGTGGAAATTTGTTAGGCAGCTTACCCACCGTGGGACTCAGATGACACAGTGTCTCAGAGCCCCCTTTTCAGGGTTTTGGGGAGGTAAGAGTGATGTCACATGCCAGGCACAGCACTGGGCACAAAGTGAGAACTTGAGAAATGTTGCTGGGGCCATCGAGTACATTTCACTGCCACCAAACAGAGCAGAGCTGTCCCATGGGGGGTCCTCGGCTGTCAATCTTGAGGGGAGCAGAGGGCCAGCTCTCTGTCCTTGGAGCCACTGGTGGCTGTCAATGACCAACCGCTGGAATAGCAGCTGAATACTTGGCCATTGACCCACCAGAGTTTCTTTGATACGTATTATTGAGAATAAATACACATGTTAATAAAAAGCCTCAGAGAGGGGTGGACATCCTTGAAACCCTGACCACCTAAGAAGGCATGTGGGGCGCACTCTTGTGTACACACACACACACACACACACACACACACACACACATACTCTGCTGACCGCCTCGGCTGAACTCAAGTTGGGCAGGTCAGGGGGTGACATAGGCCACCAGATAGGGGCACATTCAAAGGCTGACACAGATCAGGCTTGACAACATCCATCCTCTTGCCCGGGAAGACCACTCTGCCCCCTCCCCAAATAGCCTAGGCAGCTGCCAGAGCAGGAGCTTAGCCCCCCTACTCCCGATTTGGTGCCAGCCTCTTGGCCTCTGTGGGTTTCAGTTTCCCGGTCTTTATTTTAACTCTGTGTGTGTGTGTGTGTGTGTGTGTGTGTGTGACTACATGACTCTGAAAGTCCCTTCCTGCTCTAACCGTTGGCCGAGCCACAGGGAGGTCCTCACAGAAGCAGCACATTCCAAGCACCTCAGTCACTAACTCCTGCCTCGTGGCTGCAAGAACGTTCTTGGGCTCTGACCTCATTAGCTCCCACCCAGGGCGGCCAGCAGTAACCCCAGGGCCCACCAAGGCTGTTGGGATTCTGGGGAGGGAGATGCCTCAGAGACCCTGGCCCTACCCCTTGCCTGCTGTGTGAGGTTGGCCTGGTTACTTACCCACTCTGAGTCCAGAAAGCCCCATCTCTTTGGGGTGAAGGCATCCAGTGGAGTGGCTCAATTGGTGCCACCAGGCTGCTGCTGCTGATGTTTACTTGGTTCAGTACATCCATACAGTTAAGCATCCTCCCCCAGTGTTCAGCTCAAAGCCTTTTTTTTCCCTCAAAGCCTTTTTACACATGTGCACATCCGTGTCGCTACAAGGTTAAGATCAAAGACATTTCCAGCCACTCAGAAGTTCGCTGATGCCCCTGCCCTGTCACAATCTCCTACCTCGTTAAACCACTGTTTTGACTTCGACCACAGATGAGTTTTAACTGCTCTAGAACTTCCTGTAAACGAGACCATGCAGTGTGTGTGTGTGTGTGTGTGTGT